AATATTAACACCAAGTTGACATAAACTTGTGTGGAATCCACATGTACAGAAACTCAAATAAAGTATTTCAAGCAACTGAAGTAAGTATAAGAAAACAAGATGTGCATAATAAATCAGACTGTATAATCTGGCTTTTGTTAAAAAGACAGTATAATTGTCCCGACTCAAACCTTCACTGATTGTGCCAGAGTACAATGTTCCTAGAAGAAAGTGCAGCAGAGTTTGTAAGCAGCAAGTAAAATAATTTTGTCTAAGAAAAGAATATCTAGCTATAACAATCTTTTAGCTTGGAAAAAGGATAGAGATGGCAGCTATGAAATTAGCAAACCACATACACAAGATTAATATTGCATTGCATTTTTTAATTAAAACTCTGATTCCAAGATGTTTAAGAAAACTGCAGATAAGTAAAAGCAAGTATTTTCTAAACCTAAATAAGGCAGATCATTGAAGCTAACAGAATACTGTTTTCATCAACAACTAGACAATTCTTAAAATTCTCTTCTTGTTGAAGCATCCAACATCAAATAGCATTATTGAAATGGAGCAAAAACATGAAAGCATTAAAAAATCCAAGAATCTGACTTCTCTCTGGCTTATTTCTTGACTGTTGGAAAACAGGTGGATAAATGCAGCCAGTTAACCTCTTTAGAAAAATATGAAATGAATTATTTCAGTTTACATGGGTGGTAGAAGTTTGATCTATTTTCAGATATAACATATATAGACGTCAATACCACAAAACACGAATTTAATCTCATTAAAATTACACATTTATATTTCTCCTTTTTTCTAGTAACACTTACCCTCCATAATCTAAGAAGCTATCAATACAAGTTTTATTTCTCGTATCCCAGATCTTAACAGATTTATCCTCACTGCAAGATGCTATTAGCCTTCCATCAGGTGAAAATCTGGAACATGCAAGTGTATACATTACTAAACAACTGATACTACCTAGATTAGCATTAAAGACATATGTAGCAAAACACCAGAACCAAGAAAGCCTGTTTGGAATTAAAACGTGTAACATTCAAAGGACATTTGAATTTCTCATATTACTCATAGATTAATAAAACCGAAAAGAAAAGCTTCTCCCCTCAGTCCTCCCCACTCCATTTCACAATCAGCTACAAGTAAAAACAGAGCCATAAGCAAGAGAAAGAGGAGGGGAGTTGGGGGAAGGTAACAGCAGCCTAAGGTGGTCACTTCAGATGCCAAAGAGATTATTATAGAAAACTATAGGCAAAAAGAGAAAGATGACACAGTAGAATCTTGCATTCAATTTTAACCTACATACATATTCTCCTGTGAGTTCTCTCTAGACTTACAAACTCAGAAAAACATTCATGGAATCATAGAATCATGATTATTCCTAGACTAGCAGACTTGGTTTTTTAAACAAGAAAATAGATTTGTCTATAATTTCACCAATCATTATTATTTCTCATATTGAGTAACTGCACAAGGACATTAGAACACTGTACAAGAACTTTCACATACGATTTCCTAGAGCTTTTATTTTTCTTATCAATGATCAGATACTTTGGAACTTTGCACGGCTCTACACTTCACCAGAGTTAAATTTCTTTCTCAAGAGGTTTAAATCAGGCCTCTCTCAGCTATAGATTTTCCATTAATATGAAAGAAAAAAAATTATCAAAGAATCTTTTCTTGTCTTTGAAAAGCTGCCCTGCCTTTAAATAGAGTGTGAATCTTAACTTGCAATACAAAGGCCATTTCTTTTACCTTTTCCAATTATGTAAGCTTAACTCATTTTGACTCATGACCATTCTTTTATGCCACTTCTGTTCCAAGAATAGTTGAGAAAGCCCGTACCATGCATAATAAATCTAGAAACAAGTGAATGCTGTGAAATAAGTTAATACAGCACAAAAACATACAGGACTGTGGAAACAGACAGGATACTGACTGAAAATAAATACAGATGACCTTATTTGTCCTTTAAAGTAAAAGAATTAACACCTAGCAACAGATTTAACATGCACAAATATTAACACAGAGCAAGCTTTCAGACTTCAACTAGGAGATATATATAAAACCTGTGTGTGTGTAAGACTGATTTATTAAAATTGTATTATTAGTGATAGATCATCATTTATCATTCACAGATTTTTCTTCTCTTAGTTCTGCCCCAAGAAATAAAAACCCTTTGTTAGGAGTTCTGCTTCTTTACAAAGAGAATAAAAACAACACTTACTTGGCATAGCGAACCCAATGAGTGTGTTGGAATAGGGAAAACAAGAGGTGCTGACGGCGAACACTCCATATTTTTATTGATTTATCATTGGAGGCTGAAACTAGAAAGTGGCCATCATGCGAGAAGCTCACGCTACGAACAGATGCTGTATGACCTTTCAGTAGGATGATTCTCCATGACTGGGGAAAAAAAAAACAAAAAACCCCAAAACACCAAAACAAAACACAATTATATTAAACTGAAAGAGTTTAAAACCCCATAAAACTCAAAGTTAACATATTTGGAAACTTATCCAGATGAAAAAGCAATGTATACAGGCTAAATCTTAGTGTTGACAATATTTTTTGCCTTATTTTTATATTAAATATTAGAATAACAGACTTTAAAGTAATTGTATTTAATATGACCAATTTTAGAAAACATTGCAATTAACTGGCAGCATTAGCCTCCATACTGTATTTGAAAAAGAATTTATTATATTTTTGGTATAGTAATCTACAAAACGCTTAAGAGTTAAAGTAACATCAGTCTTTCTAAGATCAGTCTGAATAGCTCATAATCACTACAACTTGAGAACAGTCTAAAAAGACAAGTCAATTCAATTTTTTTTTTTTTAGAAATGCTGTTTTTTGTTTCCTTTGTCAGTTGTTGCCCCAAAATGAAGTGCAGCCATGTAACCCTTATTAAAAGAAATGCAACATTGAAGCCAGAGAAATACCACCAAACATAGTCCTACATATGTGAAATTATGACCTCTGAATTGCTATATTTTTCTTCGGAAACTGCAGAATATTCAGTAAAGAACAAAGTAACACAGTGAAGTTGCTTGTGCTCCCAGTTTCTGTTTCTGTCAAAGCCAAGTCAGGGATGCGGGAAGGAAAGAGAAACTTTTCTTGGGTAAAGACTCCAAATTTCACATTGCCCGTTAATGAAACACATAGCCAGTATCGCCCAGTTATACTCACATGCAAGGAATCCATAGTCTGACAGTACGATCTTGAGAAGCTGAAGCAAGTAGCTGCCCATCTGGTGAGAACTGTACGCTGGTCACCGCTTCCGCATGGCCTACAAATTTGTAAGCTCTGCATGGTGTCTTCAGCTTCCACACCATAAGAAACCTATCCAGAGAGGAGGTAGCTGGCAAGAAATAGAAGATATTATGAGTCCACTCATTGTTATTAGAAAAATCAGAGCTAATGACTATGGATTTGGATTCACCAGTGAACTTACTGGGTATTAGGGGGAGGGAGCAGTTATTGGGTTTTAATGGATACTTGGCCTGAGCGGAAGCCTGGCAGCCAGCAATGCCAACACCAGGCTTTTGGAAGGACATCAGAAGACTGGGAGGAGTAACTCATAGTTTTTTACAGGTAGCTCTCCCATATATTAAGCAAACTGGCTTACAAGTACTTTAAAGATATGGAACAACAAATCCAAAGCCAAATATCATGCACATATCATTAAGCATGAATCCAGATTTGGTGTTACTAAATAGTAAGAACAAGAGACAAATTCTTCAGTGATCTCACTTTGATCTCCAAGATAGAATTTGTTTCAAGCATCAAGTGTTCAACTCTGAAAAGACAGGGCAATTTAAACTCAAGATATCATTTCTAACACTTCAGATATCTACACTAAAGTGAATATCCAAATATGAGAATTCTGTAATCCTATTTAAGTACCAACTTTTTAATGCTAACATTTGTCTAGTTCAAAACACAATGTGAAGTTGTCAGCCGGATAATAGAAAAAGATGAATTTTTTTTTTTTCCAGTCATTTTACAGGTGGACCATACTGTTGATGTTTGAGAAGGCAGACATAGCTTTTACCAGAGCTTGAACATTTTCAGGAAACTATAAGCAGCAAAAGCAATGAGCACTTGAATTAAACTGATAAGTGTGATATTCCTACACCCCTATTATTTTCATCTCTGCTAAGTGCTAGCATGCAGGTCATAAATAAAAACAAGGGATTCACACTCCCACCCCTCAATTATAAAATTCCTACCCCTAGTACAGAAAGGGAAGGAGAGGAAGAACAGGCACCTCTTGGAAGTTGAAGAGGACATGAAAAGGATGGCTCTTCCCTTCCCAAACTCTTTCAGGCACCAACATAGCACAGAGGAGTCTGTTTGTTAGCATGTGTATCAAGGCAAGCATCAAACAAAATATTAGACATTAAACTCTCCTTAGGGATTTGGCACAGAGATACTATTTTTACTCCCAAAAGACTGGCTTCTGGTAAAAGATGTGGGACCGGACTATCCCTCTGCCCATATCAATGGGCCTAACTTTGACACAGAAATACCAGATACTTTCCCCCTGTGGTGGTACAGCCCCCTGGGGCACTTTGAGATCCCAGGAGAAGCCCTATTGCGCTGTTATCTTGGTCATAAGTGCAATGACCGGGGTGTCAGACACTCCGTGTCCACACCTGGGCTACCTGCTGCCTGAATTGTATACCAGAATGACTCAGCCTGAATTGTGGCCAGAATGTAAAACACTGACCAAAGCCAATCACCCTGAGATCCTATAAATAGCGATCCAAAAGGGAGATCTTTTGAGCTCTCCAGGACTGCAGCGGGCTGTGTGACCCAGTACCTCCCCGTGAGCTGGGACGCCTCTCAGGGTAGATTTCATGAAGACTCACAGGCCTGAGTTTGCAAGGTTCACCTACTGTCCATTGATGAATGCTGGCACATAAAACTGAGTAATTCATGTAACTCACAAAAAGGCAAATTTTAATCACAGGTTAACCTCGGGGCAGCGGGGTGCATGCACATGCAATTTGACTCAGAATTGTTTGTCTGTCTGTGTGTGAGTGCGCAATTTGATTTAAAGCTGTTTGTCTGTCGGTCTGTCTGTGTGTGATTTGACTTAAACCCCATCTGTGTGTGCAACCCTGCTGTAAGTTTCGGGTGACCTTTGCCATTCTCAAATCTTTAACTAAATCGCTATTTTGATTGTAACAAATTCCACTGAATCTCGCTGTTAAATTAGCCGATGCTTAAGTACTGTTAAGAATTATACAACCTAGTTTTGTGATCTCAAAAATACTAGTATATCCTAAATTGCTGCTAAACCAAAGCTGTGTAAAAAATAATACTCGCGACACCCCCCTTCAACTTTTCAGAACTCTGTTTTACAGCAGGCTCTTTCTAATTGTACTTGAACGATTTCTTTTTTCCCTTTGATTCAGAAAAATGTGACCTAGAGTGGCATAAAACGGAAAGGAAAAAGTGAAATGTGAGCCAGAACAGGATTCGAAGGCATCATGTTGGAAACATTGGACAGACAAGATGGATGGTTTCTAAAACAAATAATGCACGAACTGCCAATTACTTGTGAAACACCAAGGGGTGCCTTATGAACTGCATGAAGGCCATGTAATACCAGCCCTCTTCACTTTCAGTTCTAAAAACCGAAGGAAATATTTTGAAAGATGACAATACAAGAAATTCAAAGCCTGGTTTGTTGTAGCTTGCTCTCTCACAGATGGATTATCCCAAGGTTAATGAGATACAAGCAGTGACCTGAAGTTCTCCTTTCTCTGGGACATCCACAAGCATCTTCCTTGCTCTCCCTCTGGACTCCTTGTTGTCTACTACGCTCACACAGCATCCTCTCTCCATCCTGAGGTAGGTTTCTGTCTTGAAGCCACCCACTCATTACCATGACACTCAAAGGCGATTATTATTTCTGATACTGCAGTTCCAGCCCAGCTGACACCACCCCAGGGGTGGTAAAGGGCAGAGGTTCAGGACAGGCACGGGAAAGGGAAAGTAACCGAGAGATCCATTGCAGAATTATTTTCCTAAGGCACACAGGCTGATGTGAGCCTATACCTGAACAGTATGTGAGAGGCATAAACTCAGAAAAGGAAACTCTAAGCCACAACTCTGAATCTACATTCAACTTTGGCCCCTATGCTGCCAAGGAAACCATCTTTACCATTAACAAGGCTCAGCCAAGCCTGGCTACTCCCTATTGATTCAGCAGCCAGGCTGAAAACAACTTTGATCCATATGGCTAACACCTAAGCATTTTGCTGTATGGTAAACATTTTATCTTAGCTAACCACAGGCACTAAATACAAGAATTTATAGGGCAACAGTGTTGCCAGCAATAATTTCCATTATCAATACTAATCTTAAAAACAGTTTTATACATGAAGAATCTACTGTATAATTTACCATTATCAAACTTCTCTGTTCTTCTTTTGATTCCATTTTAAGGGATTTTGCCTACTTTATGACAACGCTTCTCCAATTTACTCAAGCACAGTATCTTAAGAACTGCTTTTTTATCCTTTTATGCATTTTCTCCCCTCAAGTTCATGTTGTCTATGCATTTAAGTGTTCAAAAGGAGGAGAGCAAGGACCTTCCAGGACAGATTACACATGGGGTCCTATAGCAATGCAGACCAGACCCAGTTGTTATGTTCTGTCAGCACTTGCTAAGTACACCAGTATGACAGTCTGACTTTCAATTAGCAGGCCACCAGTAAATAGTCTTCAAGAGAGCTCCAAGGCTAATTTAAAGTATTAGAACTGAAACAAAAGGAACACAGAAGGTCCAGAACAATTTTTTAAGATGGACCATACCACAAACAGGTCTGTTGCACATGCCTCTCAGAGGAAACATGACATAACCAGAACCATGTTTAGAGGTGAAAGACAAAATTTGTCCTTGCTGTAGTAATGGAAATATTTGATCAACTGCAAAATATAGCTAGAAAGAAGAAAGCTGAAAATTCATACTGAGCTGACTCCAATATGCAACTTAATCCAGTTTATAACCTCAGTGCCTTTTTTAAATTTTTGTTTGTTTGTTTGTTTTAAACTTCAGTGCTTTCTGTACACACCCAAGTATAGCTGACGCATCTCTAGGTAATTTACTTTTCTGGTGATGAGTCATAACAGAATTTAACACCAAAGAATAAAGACTTGGCCTTACAAAAAGGCCAAGTTTACACACTGCTTTGCTGAGGTTCTCTAAACGGATATCTGGGCTTCCCATATGCCACAAAGAAAATTTTATGGTATTTGCAATGAAACCAAGTTCAATTTATAAGTTGTGAATATTGATGGTATACATTTTCATATATACACATGTATATATGAAGACACAAGTTGCCACAATATGGAATTACCATTACACTCCCATTTCCCACAATACCACAGTAATAACTATAGGAAAGTTGTTCAAAAGATCAGAAAAGACATACACAGCCAGGCTGTAACACCTCGATGTACCCCTTGGTCACCCTTTTTTCCCCACAAATACCAAATATAATTAACTTGCCCAGTGCAAGAATTACAGGTCAGCTGGAGTACAGGGCTGTGCACATGACATGTGTGTGAATATTCGGACACTACCAAACACCAAAAACCGGCACACTTTACAGGAACCCTACAAATCTCAGTGCAAGAAAGTGCAACATCACAATATAAACATATGTAGCAGTGATTCACAAGACTTCCTACTTGGAGGAAAATAATTCTTAATTAAACCTCTGTGAAGGGAGCTGATCTGGGATGCTAAGCACAGTGGATAAGTTATGAGCAACTTTTAGTAGCTCCCATGAAGTTTGAGTTCATCATGGTTTTTACTGTATACTGTACGTGCTTACACAAGTGGAAGAGAACTGAAAAGAGTCAGCACACTAGCCAACATTTAATTATAATTCCGGATTTTATTTTTTTCAAAAGAAACCCCAAGGCCCTCCCACATTTATTCAGTGTTAAGTTTACATTCAGTTTAAGTCACTCAAAATCAGTAGTTTAAAATATATACAAGTGTTCCCCAAACTTTCAAAGTCTCACAGAATAGAAAATCTTTCAGATTTTCCAGAAATCTGTACACACTGAAAAACAACTGTATTGGATTATTTCTGCAGAATTGCTGCAACTCAATTCAAAACTAGTGGAACTTGAAATAGTAAGTTTGTTTTTTTTTTTCTTTTCTTTCTTTATCCTTCTCTAGCCACCCCCTAACCTTGTTTATTCCCATTGGGAACAAATTTAATTTTATTTATTGTTTTATTTTAGGGCCAAGTTATTTACTTTTGCTTTTTTTTTTCCTTTTATTTTTTAAATAACCACAAAAATAGAATGGGAGGTGGCGGGGAGA